AGCCAGATCGGGGCTGCCCGTTTCTAATCATGCCTCAAAGCAAATCGTGGACTCCCTGGCTGGCTTGCACCGACACTGTTTCCAGCGCTCCCAGTACCTGCCTTTTGCTTTTCTTCAATGGCCTGCGTTTCAACCTGTACACAAAGCTCACTGGTTGAGTATTTATTCGTTATTTATTTCAAATATTTTTGCCCCTCGTTTCTCCTTGAAAGGTCCGGAGGCGGCTATAAAAATGGACAAATCTGAGGTAGCAGAAGAATGTTGGGCCCTAGATCAACTCAAACCTGAACTCTCTGTAGAGGCAAAAATGTTGAAGCTGAGGCTCTCCTCATGAGTGGACAGGATTCTCTAGAAGAGACAATAATGCTGGGAAAAGTGGAAGGCAGCAGGAAAAGAGGAGGACCAAATATGAGATGGACTGATTCTCTATAGGAAACCATCGGTCTGAGTTTGCCAAATCTGAGGAGGCCAGTTGAGGACAGCCCATTTTGTAGATCGCTCATCATAGGGTCAACGTAAGTCGGAATCAAGTTGATGGCACATAATGGCAAAGAGTCAAAGAGGAATCAGAGAAGAACGCTTTCAACAGATACGGTGCTTAACGCATCTTGATTGAGCATTCTGGCCGGGGGCTGTGTTGGCATGGCTTGTGAAGAGAATATAATAGGCGGGATATAAATAAAATAAATAAATAAATAAATAAAATTATGAAACACCGGCCGAAATCCTGTTGCTCAAGATAGTAAATCAAACCAAAGCAGGCCCACTGAATCAAGGGGGACAGGGTGAGACAGGTCATTCCTATAGGCCTACTCTAACTGTGACTTACTTTGGTATATTTCAATGTTAACGGATGGAAAATTGTTTTTGCAGTTAGGAACAGAACTTGGAAAAAGTTAATTTTTTTTAAAAGTTACATTTCTCCGAATCCTACAAGCACAGGATGGCCACTAAGTAAACCCAATGGGGGATTCTGGGAGTTGTGAGCCCAAGAGGTAACTTGTCTTCTTAGTTCTCTAAAAACACTCGCCTAATTTTAGGAGAAAGCTTAGCCACATCCTGCTTTAAAATCAACCAACATACTACACACGAACACCAAATCACGAATCTTCCCTTGTCAAGTCTAGCCCTGGGGGTGGGGGACCCACCATGCCACCCCAAAAGCACAAGCGTTCTCAAAATAAGGAGGTGGTGGTGGTGGCCAGCAGTGACACCCCACCACAGGAGCATAGGAGCTAATGGATGGTAGTTAATAACAACCACGTACCCCAATCTTTGGCCAGGATTCTGGGCCCTGTGGAGCATCAAGGTAGCATCTCGTTTTTGCCACTAGCTAGTGTAGCTTCGCCGACCATGTAGGAAAGAGCATTTGAGTATACGGCTCCCTGGACAAATTATCAAAATCGTAGAGCTGAACACGGACAAGCTGTTACCCAAGACAGCTCAAGATCTGAAACAGTGAGAGAAATTATTTTTATATATTTATATATATATTCTTTAGGGTAGATTTAACACAATTAACATGTTACCTTCTTTGATTTATTTAATTAAAGGCCTGTGCATCACTGTCCCAGTTCTCTGTTTTCACAAAATAAAGCCAACACTCAGCAGTTTTCGGCGGGCTAATGAATGGCTGGGTTACTCATTTTCCAGAGACGAGGGTTGTCAGTAGAAATGGGAAGGCTTTTACTCTCTTAACCTTGCCACTTATCACAATGCTTTTTTTATGTTCGCGGGCTCTTCAGGTGGCAGGCAAAGGCCTCTTTTAAGCAAGTAAGATGGATTAGCTCCCAAATTGCCTGCCCACAGCTCTTGCATTGCATTACAGCACCAGGAGCAATGCCCTAAACACACACAGAGAGGGGGGGAGGGAAGGGAGAGAGAGAGAGAAGAGGCTCCTCTTAAAGAGAGAGAGAGAGAGAGAGAGGCTCCTCTTACAGAATGTATTCTGTTGTGTGTGTGTTTTGAAATATTTTTTTTAATAGACCCATAAAATGTAGCTGGATCCTTCAGTGCTTGGAAGTTGACCGTCTCATGTGATTCTCAACTTGTAATGGTCCAGTCTGGGTTCATCTAAGAATATGATGAATGTATGCAAGATGTTTAGATCTATATTCCACGCACCTCAGTTTTCTGAGTCTCCCCCATGCCATGACTGTGACGGAGATCTCTTCCTGCATCCGTGAGGTCTTTGGGCTTTCCTCAAAGACAAGAGATCAGTTCCGTTGTCCCCTTCTCCCATCTCTTTTGGTGTCTATTTCGTGCCCACTGTCATCCACAGGAAACTGCCAAATTAATGTCCTTCCTGGTCAATCCAGTACAGGAAAGCTTCAGATACCGCTGTTGTTCTTGCGTGCTGTCAAGTTGCCTCCGATGTACGGCAACCCTATTAATAAACGATCCCAAAAATATCTTGTCATCAACAACCCTGCTCAGCTCTTGCCAACCCAAGCCTGTGGCTTCCCTTAAGGAGTCAGTTCATCTCATGCTTGGTCTTCCTCTTTTCCAGCTGGTTTCGATGGCTTCCTTTAGGAAGCCAATCCATCTCATGCTTGGTCTTCCTCTTTTCCTGCTGGTTTCACTGTTTCCAAGCATTATTGTCTTTTTATATGAGTCTGTCTTCTCCTGATGTGCTCAAAGTAAGACATCCGTCAGTTTTGCCATTTTTGCCTCTAGAGATAGTTTAGGCTTGTCTTTCAGACAGTCCAGGGTACCCAAAAAGCTCTTCTCCAGCACAGCATTTCAGACAAATCAGTGGGGTTTTTTTTTTTGGTCAGATTTCTTAACTGTCCAGCTTTCACATCCACACATCATCATCACCATTACAAGACACAAACAGATTCTACAAAGAACGGGAGAACATAAGCATCCCAACAGGCTGAGCTAAAGATCCGTCTGCCCTCCATTAGGGTCCAAAGCCAACCTTTAAGTCCAACTAGAGTAGACCCAAGGGAAGATCCTCTGAATGGTTTAAGTCTACATTGAACACAAACCCCACTCAATCAACTGGGTCAATTAGAGAGGGGGCTTTTGGAATGCAAAGCTGCTGAGCATCTCCCAGGCGGACCTCTGAGACCAGGAGAGGAGAAACCAGAAGAAGACCACCATTTCTTTCCACCACTCTTTCTGTCTCCTTCCTCAGGTGTTGGCTGGGAGGAGTAGGAACACCTCTTCGGTCCCACCACCTCCTGCGAGTCTCCCCTGCACAACAAGAGCAACGCTTCCTTCAACCCAACCTTCACCAAACCAATCTCTCTCTCCCTTCTACAGTGGTGCCTCGCTTAACTATTACCTCGTTAAATGACGAAACCGCTATACGATGACTGTTTTGCGATCGCTTTTGCAATTGCAAAACGATGTTTTAATAGGCAAAATTCACTTCCCGACTATCGGTTCCCTGCTTCGGGAACCGATTTTTCACTAGACAATGTTTTTAAAACAGCTGATCAGCGGCTTCAAAATGGCCATCCGATGTAAAACGGCTCCCCACTGTGTTTTTGGACGGATTCCTCGCTTTACAGGCACCGAAAACGGCCACCCCTATGGGGGATCTTCACTGGACGGTGAATTATTCAGCCCATTGGAATGCACTGAACAGGTTTTCAATGCGTTTCAATGGGATTTTTTATTTCGCTTAACGAGGATTTTGCTTTACCGCGATTTCACTGGAACAGATTATCCTCGTTAGGCGAGGCACCACTGTAGTTTGCATTCAACAACAAAGAATGGGGGATCTTCACTGGACGGTGAATTATTCAGCCCATTGGAATGCACTGAACAGGTTTTCAATGCGTTTCAATGGGATTTTTTATTTAGCTTAACGAGGATTTTGCTCTACCGTGATTTCGCTGGAACAGATTATCCTCGTTAAGCGAGGCACCACTGTAGTTTGCAGTCAACAACAAAGCTCCTATGTATTTGATCCCTGGTCCCAGGGCTGGATGGACACCACCTGGCAACATCCTGGGGTTCCATGCCGTTTTGCATGTACATCAACATGACATTATGTCATCTGTTATAATCTCAGGTCTGGAAGGGATACTTCGGCTCATCGGGATCCGGTCCCTGTCAAGGAAGCCCAGTGGGGAACTGGACTTCCAACCTCTGGCTCTGCAGCCAGATGCCTAAACCACAGAGCTATATCTTGCAGTTCACTGTACAGCCCCACTTCACATCTGACACCAACATCTGCCTGTAGTGGAATGTGGCAAAACCACTCTGTATTCTGCATATATAATACTCTCCCTGTTTTTTGCATTTTTGCATCTTCGTAGCCGACCCTACCTGTTCCGTCAGCTGGCGTTTCCGGGGGATTACAGAGGAACTCATACTTAGCACACACTCTCTCCCTCGCCCCCATCTCTCTGTCTCTTAGTGTGAAATTGTACACAGGTTCTCTGCTGAGTACAATTACTGGGTGTGCAACTCCTGTAATCTGGCTAATACAGTTAAGTATGCTGGAGATTAAGGGATTTGAGTCTGCGAAGTCAGGTTTATCCAGCCAGGCCTCATTTAAGGCGTCGGGGAACACAAAAAGACCTCAGTTTCAAAGTCCGAGGCAGCTAAGCAATTTCTGCCTTGGCAATAGGAGGCTCACAGAGAAGATCCCATCTTTCATCTTGCGGGCTTCAACCACTGCCGAGGATACAGCTGTCTAGATTTGCCAGGGATCCTCCATTGATCTCGTACCTGGGCCGGCTCAAATGCCAACCCTCCCCTGCGTCAGTTTGGCCCAAGGGGAAGAACTTTAGAAGTGCCAGCTTGCATGCACTTAGGTAAAACGTGGTCTGGTTTTGTTCTGCTGCCTGCGAGGGGTGTTCCTTGCCTCTCCTGAAATAGTAAAATGAGCACAATCCACATAGGCTGCAATCCAAGACTTGAGATCCAGATGGGCAGAGGCCCCTCGCTCAAAGATAGGCCAGTTGCTGGGGTTTAAGGTTCAACATGCATTGTTTTTATTGGCAGAAAGGGCCTTATCCTGGTACAGACCTTCTCTGCCAGCTGGTCTCAGATCTGCAGGCGAAGCCATCTCCCAGCAAAGGGTGCTGACGAGCACTGGACAGCAAACAAATGAAAGAGAGGGTAGCCTGAGGGATGGACCTCCTCCAGGCTAGTCTAGAGACCGACTGGGTGCATCATTATTCCTCGAGAATGGCATGTTTTTGCTGAATAGCAGAAGCTAATATTTGTGACCACACGACGCAAGGATATATAGTGTATTCGATGTTATGCCAGGTGGAAGGTGTTGGCAGGAAGGACAGTAAATCAATGCATGGTTTGCATTACAAGAGACTGAGTAGGTGGTGGGGAGAGTATTAAGCCAACAGAAGCATTGGGGCTGGGGAATGAGATGCAATGAAGGAATGGGCCCAGTTTATAAAAGACATCTATAGTACATGGCTTCAGTTCATTGACCAGCGTGTCTCCCAGCCTAACAGACCTGACATCAGCTCTCCAAACCCATGGCAGAATGTGTTGGGAGTTTTTTGCTGCCTCGCATGCTGTTTTTAGTGGGTTTCCCTTGGATGGACCATTCTGGGCTGGGGTGACCATCAGCCTGTCTGGCACTAATCAATTGTTCTTTCCTTGCTTCTGAATTCAAAGAGAGTCCCTTGGATGGACCATTCTGGGCTGGGGTGACTGTCAGCCTGTCCGGTACTAATCAATTGTTCTTTCCCTGCTTCTGAATTCAAAGAGAATCCTCGTCTCTCTGCTCATTGTTCTTCCCCCCTCATCTTGTCTTTTGGAAGCAGTCGGCTGGTCTGTTGCTGAAAATGGTCATCTTTGTCAGTTTGCTGTTTGCTCTGTTCAACTGTAAGTAGTGGATCTTGTTATTCTTTCTCCTACTAATGTCTCAGCGGGAGGTACTGAGACTGTAAGTGACAGTTAATGAGAAAAAGGGGGTGAACTACTCTGGGGAATTTGAAGCTATTCTGATCTGTGTGCTCCTCCACTTCTGCCACGCAGCTAGAGGAATTAAACTGAAAATTCAAAACTCTGCAACAGAATTAACAAGCAACTTCTCTCCAGTCATTGTGTCCCAGGTTTTTAGAACAGATGCATACACCATTCGCAATGCGGAACAGGAACCATACGTTGCTGCCCTGCTCGGTGTCAACACTGCTGAGTGGACAGCTGATAGCAATGGCCGGCTGGCGGTTGGGAAAGGTTTAAGCTGCCGAGACTGGTCTCAAGGCAACAGAAGAAGAGTCCTCATCTCCAAGTTGGAGCTTTAAAGACAGTCTGACAACAGAGATTCCTTTTTAGCTCAGATGCTTGGACAGGCCTGCCGGAGTAGAACTGTATTCATTCTGGCCAATATGCCAGAGGATCAGCCACCTATGCACCAGTGTAGACCCCAACACCAGGTCATTCCCCTCCTGCTTCCATGAAAACCCATCGCTGTGTCTTGCGCTAGTGCTCCCTCCTA